TTTTAGAGTGTTTACTTTAATATTTAGATATTTAATAGAACATTATACAAACTTATTTTGGAGTCCGCATATTAAACCAGTAGAGTTCAAACACTACTAACGGAACGTCGAAACAATATTTAAATTGTTTATGTCATTTTGTTGTTTACTTGTTTGCATAGATGAAGAAGCTACAAACTATTTTATATGTGTGTGTGTGATTTTTTAATGTTATTTTTATATTTTACCTTGGCCCCCCTTCTATCGTATCCTGGCTCTCCCCTGTAAACCGGTAAACCGACGATGAATCACATTTTCTACCTCTCCACATATTTTCCTCTTCAAATTGGAGAGATTGGGTTGAAAAGAAAAAAATATCTAATTTCCATTCATTATACAGTCAAATCCGAACAGGGTAAAACAGTCATTGCATTATGTTCACACCTTCCTTTATCTCCATACGTTTTTTCTCTTTCTGTCTGTTCATTCATTCTGAATAGTGTTAATGATAGGAATGTTGGACTACAATGGAAAAATATTCGTGAGTTGAATAAGTAATGTGTAATCAGTAATCACAACGGGAAATTAGCCACATGTATTATTATTACTTTCGTGCATGACTTTTCCAATAAACCAAGTATTATGTATAGTCATTTCTATTCCCAACAAACTTTGATATATTTGTTTGTTGAGCTGCACATTATGCGGCTGCTGGTGAGTGAAGAAGATGAATTGCTCTTGCATATGGCAATAGACCAAAGAGATTCATGCAGGGAAATGAAGAGGGAAGATGAGTTGGATGGAAGAAAACTTCAAAGAGTACTTTTTTGTCATTTTGAACTCATCCTTTCTATTGCATTACTGTTACCTCTATTCAAATTACACTTGTAATTAACACCATAAGATAAGACAATCACTACTATTACAATGAAATTCTAATTGATGATAAATAAAATAACATAAGAAAGCTAGTCAAACAAAGTGCCACTGATTCAATCCAGCGGAAAACCTAGTTATAGTGGGAGTAGCCCAACTTGTATAGATACCCCAGTGCCTCAATTATAGCTATAAATATATCACTTGTATAGAGCTATTAGTTATCAAGTTTCATATTAATAAAAATCAGTTCATATTCTTCACATGGTGTCAGAGCCCTGTTGTATGTCCCCAGGTATGGTGTTTCTCAATTCTGGTGAGTAAATCCATCATGAACAGTTGAAGCGATTGGCGTTCGAGCACTTCCGGTAGTGAAATATCAAATTTACACCTACCAACATGCTCAGCCCACCACGCTGCACCCTGAAACCATACCATGATGCACCCTCCACGCACCGCCACAGCCAACAACTGCCACTGTTCCTTCACTTTTTTTGCAGATCTATTATATTCTGCTCGTCTGATGATAGGAAGCTATCGAATCACAGAACAAGAAAGAAACAGAGATTAAAACTCAAGAAAAAGAAATTTTATTAATGGCAGAATTCTGTTACTAACAGCCCAAAGATAGAGATAGAACTCTAACTTCCCAGTCAAGACATCCAGTCTGAACCCGCCTCCTATTCCCGCAGCAGGGTTTATTATTTATAACCTCCACAAAAGGAAGGTGGTTATTAGTTAACTAACAGCTTTAACTAATAACGAGACAAGTCTATTTAGGTCTTCTAGAGTACACCTCACCAAATCTACCTCCCCCTAATAGACTAGTAGTCGGGTCCCTATCAATACCCACTCCTTGAAAAACCATCTTGTCCTCAAGTTGGAAATCTGGAAATTGCTCTTGAATGACTTGCAACTCCTCCCAGGAATCTTCAAAATAAGGTAGATTCTTCCAATGCACCAGAATCTCCTTCTTGCCTTCTTTATTAATTCTACCCTTCCTCACAATTTCAGGACTCACCTGCAGTTCACCATCTTTAGTGAGGCAACTGGGAAGATTTTGATAAGCTACATTAGGTTTCAGCACTTTCTTCAGCAAGGATATACGAAATACAGGGTGTATTCTACATCCTGGAGGTAATTTCAGCCTGAAAGCTACCTCAATCAGCTTCTCCACTATCTCATAGGGTCCATAGAATCTGGGGCTAAGTTTCTGATTGATTTTCCTCACTAGGCTTCTCATCTTGTAGGGCTGAATTTTTAGGAACACCTTATCCCCCACTTCCAGCTTCATTTCCCTCCTATGCTTATTAGCCTGTTGCTTCATCAAGTTCTGAGCTTTAGATAGATATTCCTTTAATTCATCCAACATTAAATTTCTCTCATGAGTTAATCTGGCCACCTCTTCTACAGTAGTTAGATTTACATCCCCTCTAATGATAGGAGGAGGCATCTGACCAAACAAAACCTGATAAGGAGTACTTTTCAATGAGCTGTGATAGTTGGTATTGAACCAGTATTCTGCCCATGGAAGATACTTAACCCACTGTTTGGGTTTGGTACCAGTTAGACACCTCAGATATGTTTCTAAACACCTGTTAACAACTTCAGTTTGTCCATCACTCTCAGGATGATATGCAGTGCTATATTTCAATTTGGTTCCAGCTGATTTGAACAATTCAGACCAAAATGAGCTCAGGAAAAGACTATCCCTGTCACTAACAATAGATTTGGGAAATCCATGAGTCTTAACCACTTCTTGAACAAACACTTCAGCCACACCTTTTGCATTAAAAGGGTGTGCCAAGGGTATGAAGTGAGAGAACTTTGTCAGTCTATCCACAACCACCATAATTGTATCTTTCCCATGTGATCTGGGTAACCCCCCAATAAAATCCATGCTGATATCTGTCCAAATTCTGTCAGGTATGGGTAACGGTTGCAGTAAACCTGCAGGCTTCAAAGCTTGATACTTGTTCCTGTGGCAAATATCACATCCCATAATGTATTCGTTAATGTCAGCTTCCATTCCTATCCAAAAGAATAAACTGGAAATCCTCTTCATAGTCCTGAAGTAACCAGAATGACCCCCTACAGCTGTGTCATGGTATTCTTTTAGTATGGCTGGTATTCTGGAGTTTCCTTTAGGCAACACCAACCTTTCTTTGTAATATAATAGCCCACCTTTTATTTTGTAATCTCTGCATTCCTCAGGTTGTATCATAATTTTCTGCAAAATCTCACTGCATTTAGGATCCTTTGGTAGCTCATCTGCCAATCCATCCCATTCATGGCAAGTAACTGTGGATAGAGCTGCATAAGATGACTTCCTTGAAAGAGCATCAACTGCCTTGTTCTCTATACCTGGTTTGTATCTGATTGTAAAATTATAGCCCAAGAGTTTGGATATCCATCTCTGCTGATCTTCACCCATCACCTTCTGCTCAGTTAAGTATTTCAAACTCCTCTGATCTGTATGCACTTCAAACAACCTGCCTAACAAGTAAGGCCTCCACTTCTGTATAGCAAACACTATAGCCATCAGTTCCTTTTCATAAATGGATTTTGTGAGATGTTTGGGTGAAAGCTGTTTGCTCATATAGGCAATAGGGCCTCCATCTTGCATAAGTACAGCACCCAATCCCTTGCCAGACGCATCAGTCTCTATGATAAAAAGCTTGTTGAAATCAGGAACTCTCAACACAAGTATAGAGGTCATAGCTTGTTTCAGATCAAGGAAGGCCTAAGGTAACTCAACTTTTCTTGACCAAAGGAACACTTCTTGAGATTAGCCACCAACTGATTGTCTCTTAAAACTTCCAAAACCAATTTCAAATGATCTTCATGTTCTGCCCTAGTTTTACTATATACCAAAATGTCATTAAAGAAGACTAGGGCAACCTTCCTCAACAATGGCCTCAGAACTTCATTCATAAGAGACTGAAAGGTGGAAGGAGCATTAGTTAACCCAAAGGGCATAACTAGGTATTCGTAGTGACCCTCATGGGTCCTAAAAGCTGTCTTATGAACATCTTCTGCCTTCATCCTTATCTGGTGATAACCAGACTTAAGATCCAATTTAGAAAAAAATTTGGCCCCTCCTAACTCATCAAGTAACTCCTCTATCACAGGAATAGGAAATTTATCAGGTATGGTAACCTTATTTAGAGCCTTATAGTCCCCACAGAACCTCCAGCCCCCATCCTTCTTCTTGGCTAACAAAATAGGGCTACTATATGGGCTGTTACTATGCTTAATAATTCCAGATTTCAGCATCTCATCAATAATCTTCTCAATTTCATTTTTTTGATCAAATGAATACCTGTATGATCTGTGGTTTGGAATTTGTGCTCCTTTTATATTGATTGCATGGTCACAAGCTCTTGTAGGTGGAAATGGCAAATTAGATGTGAAAACTTCAGCTAATGAACCTTGTATGAGGGAATATTTCCAGAAGAGTTTGACACGGAGTTTGAAATTTCAACACTTTAGATGGCATCCGATTAATGAGATAGGCAGCGGTGAGAACTGCATCCCCCCAAAAAACTTTAAGAACGTGAGACCCAAACATTAGGGATCAAGCAACTTCAAGAAGATGTCTGATTTTTCCGTTTTGCTGAGGGGTGTCAACACAAGAACTTAAATGGATGATGTCGTGTTTTATCAAACAAGTACCAAGAATAGAATTCATAAATTCTTTGGCATTGTCAGTTTTGAGTACTTGAATTCTAGTATGAAACTGAGTTTGAATCATAGAATGAAAGCGCTGAAAAATTTCACTCACTTCTGACTTATTTTGCATAAGAAATACCCAAGTTAATCTTGTGTGATCATCTATAAAAGATACAAACCATCTTTTCCCTGTTATAGTGTTTATGCGTGAAGGTCCCCACACATCACTATGAATCAATGAAAAAGGTTTTGATGGTTTATATGTCAATCTAGAATAAGTAGTCCGAGTGTTTTTAGCAAGCTGACAAGTTTCACAACAAAAAGAACTTGGATTCTTATTTAAAAATAAGAAAGGAAACATTTTTGATAAATACACAAAATTTGGATGACCAAGACGATAGTGCCATAACATGATAGCACTATCCTTATTAGATAAAGAAACTGATTGACTATTCAAAGAAAGCAAACTGAACTTTTGGTTTGTGTTGGTGGATGAAATTTCATCACGTAGAACATATAGTCCGGAACACATCTTAGCACTGCCAATCATCTTCCCTGAGTTTAAATCCTGAAATACACAAAGATTGGAGAAAAATTTTGTCACACAGCGATGTTCACTAGTAAATTTACTAATTGAAAGTAAATTGCAGTCTAATTTGGGCATATAGAGAATAGTTTTGAGAGTCAGGTCCTTAGTTATCCTTAGTTATTCCGACTGAACCTGTACCCTCAACTTGAGAAAGTGATCCATTTGCTATTTTGACTGTGTGATTTCCTCTCTTTGGGTGAAACTCAGAGAAAATTGATGCGTCTCCTGTCATGTGATCTGAAGCTCCGGAGTCTAGAATCCATGATTTGTTAGTGCTTCTATTGGCAAAACAAGCAATTGGTTTGATACCTCTCATAGCCAACAATCCAGTATCATGCGTAGAGGTTGGATGAATGGAAGGATGATTCAGAGGTTTCTCAAAGGCTTTGAAATTTGCGGCTGGTAACGAGAGAGACAACTTTATTTATTTGAGAAGAGGCAGAAAGGATTGATGAGTGCTTTAGAGGTTACCTCTGAGATGGAGCCATTGTTTTCGTGAGTCATGTTATGCAAGAGATGGGCATGATCAGACGAGTACAGAAACCCTAGGATAGCTAGAGCTCTGATACCATGTGAAAGTTCTGAATATTTTTGATATATTATAATCTCAGAATGATAGGATATTTATACAGCCTATTGAGAGAATCTAAGAGATTAAATATACAATCTGCTAATCTAAATAATAGAATATCCTATTTCTAGAAAGAATAAATTACATGATACTAGTAATTAATACAAAATCAGATCTAAGGTACAGCAGTAGTTATTCTTTAAATCAGGAAATAAATCCACAGTATCGCACATGCATACAGAACTAGGAAAAAACTCAAACCAACTATACCAGTGATATCCAAAATATGTTTTCATTTGGCTCCAAAATTACCACTCAAACAACAAGACATAGACATTCAAGATTTCTTGGGGACGCGTTGAGACATTATTGTTCGAGTATAATACCATTCAGCATATCACATAAGACAAAGAGAAACAACAAGACCAACGACAACAATCTGTTATGGTTTTAACCTTAGCAGGTCTGCGCCCTGAGTTATTATCAATTTGTGAGAAGATCCTCTCCAATTCTTCTGTTCCAGCTATGACCGAAGCTTTTGCCTAGAATTCTTTGATCAACCCCAATATCTACTGAGTCCTCTTGTGATTCCGTCATTCTTGCATCCCAGGGACAAGGGTACAATGGAGGAATTTATAAGGGATACCCACAGCGTAATCGTCCTAAGTGTGATTTCTATCATTAGATTGGTCATACTAAGGATACGTGTTGGAAGCTGCAAGGTAGACCTTCTCGCTCCGTCAATATTGCTGAGATCCTACCATTTAGAGTTGTGCTACCTTCAGCTGAATATGAGGCCTATCATAAATTCAAGACATCCAGTATGACTTCATCAACATCAAGTACCTCTACATCTAGTGTTTCCAATACAACCAGCTCATGGATCATTGACTGAGGTGTCTCCGATCATATTTCCGATAATCTCCATCTTTTATCCCATAATACCAAGCACCACAACCTTCCTTTGATCAAATTAGCCAATGGTCTTCAAACTTCAACTACAGGTATTGGGCAAGCAATTCCGCTTTCATCCTTACCATCAGATTATGTTCTATATGTTCCTCACAGCCCCATCAATCTTGTCTAAAATTACACAATCTCTTAATTATTCTATAACCCCTTTTGTGTTGACTTTTTAATTGTGCAAGACCGTCGTACGGGGAAGATGATTGCCGTCTAGCGTAAATCTCAAGGCTTGTATCACCTTCACCCTCTTGATCCCATTGTTTGTGAGTCGACTAAACCAGCAATTTCTTTACATAATCGTTTAGGTCATTCCAATCTCTCGGAATTTCGACGTAAGATCCCCGGTTTCTCAAGTCTTTCATCTTTAGATTGTGAGTCATGTCATCTTAGAAAGCAACCTCGTCAGTCCTTTCCAAGAAGAGTCAATTAACGGGTTGTATTCCCTTTTGATTTAGTTCATACAGATATATGGGGTCCGTGTTCAGGTAAGTTTACTCAAGGATTTCATTATTTTGTTATATTTGTGGATGACTTCTAATGTCACACGTGGTTTGATAGGGACCTAGATAGTACTACTAATAAGAATAATATTAATTATTGAATATTGTACAATAAAAGAGTTCTAGGCCCAATAACTTAGGGCTGAGGGTCGTCCCTTTAGAAGAGTTTTACAATATAAATAATGAGTGGGTAAGGGGAAAGAGGTAGGCAAAACTTGGGACTTGGGCTGGTAACTGGGAGTGCGAGACCACTCAAAGTGTCTCAATTGTTCTTTTCCTTCTTTCCATTCTTCTGCTTTGTATGTCAATTACGTTCGTCTGCCATTGTAATAGCTTCAGGACTCTTATTAGTAGATTTAATATACAGTAAATTGTTTGGTACCTATCATGGTTGTTTTTAATGAAAGTGCATTTTGAATTATGTCCATAGTCACATGGAACGCGGTACGCATCAGTACGCGGTACGAAAACGGGAACGCAGTTCCAAACAATTTACTGCGTATGAAGTACAAACTATAAATGTAATATAATAACAGTACTAAACAATTAACTTCACTAAAACATTAAACAAAAGTCTAAAGTACTTAAACAAATAAAGTAACTATAATTAACAAAAGTAATTAAAATATTAAGAACGAAGTCTAGGTTCTGAACCGTGGAATTGAGTACGAAAGTCTTGAACAATTAAACCGTGTCTTAGGAGTCTGGAAGGAAGTACGAAAGTCAAGAAGGGTCGTTTAGATTTCAGAGGAAAGAGTCGTTTAGACTTTAGAAGCCGCGTCGCTTGGACTGCTGGATCGTCGTCCGCTAAAGGAAACTCACGAACGGCAAAAGGGATACGGCGAACCACCTGCAAGTGAAGCACGAACTGCAACCGAAATCCGCCGTACCTGAGTCACGACCCAGCAGCGACCGGCGCGCAATTGTACCGCGATCCGGTACGCGCGATCCTGAACGCAAAACGCGGGTACCTGAGCGATTTCTGTAACTATGATTATGTCATATCTTTCAAAAAAAGGGCCAGAATTCACACACAATTTGGTCATTTTATAAAAAATTTACAGTGACAATACTAAAGAATTTTTTACGACATCAAAGGGTATCCCTCATAGTCACCTTGTGTTTATACACCTCAACAAAATGGGGTTGTTGAACGTAAGAATCAACATTTAGTCAAAACTGCTCGCACTATGTTATTACATTCTCATACACCACCTCAGTATTGAGGATGCCGTTCTCACTACATGTACCTCATCAATAGAATGCCTTCTTCGGTTCTCAACAATGCAATTCCCTATTCTGTCTTGTTTCCTACCCAAATAAACACTCATTCCATTACCCCCTCATGTGTTTGGTTGTGTGGCTTTTGTCATAATTACATAAATCGTTGGAGAGGCCACGATCTGCGAACCGAATGATGCGTACCCATTCGCGATATGAAAGCATTCCAAACACCACCTGGATCGCCGGAAAGAACACTACCATACTCATTCCCAATCGCTACCTGGTTCATTCCCAATCGCTACCCAGTTGATCACAATCGATATTCACGTCGATCACAACAAATGATTTTTTGAGCGAAACGGTCAAACGATGGACCCCAGACTTGCCATTTCCTTTCAGCGTGCGGATACCAAGACTCATCATTTCCTTTCGTTTTCTCTTCCAAGTCATCAATGTTTCAAACCAGGTTACCAGGGAGTCTAGTCTAGTAGTATGTTCATTTTCATGTGCCACCTACTTAATTAATTGAGTGAAAAACTTTTAATTAATGTTTGTGATACTGTTTTTCAGTTTTGAGTTAAATGTTTCTATATACTACCTCCGTCCCCCAATGTTTGGGACAAGAGAAGGTGGCACAATTATTAATAAAAGTGGGTTTATGTGGTTGATATTGAATTGATAAAGTAAGAATAAAGTAAGAATGATTTAGAACCACACAAACTTTACCAAATAAGGTATGAGACAATCTTAATGGGACGGACCGAAATGGTAAAATGGGACAATCATAGCGGGACGGAGGGAGTAATTATTTTTTTATTTTGTTTGATATAGTGCCAAAACATAAAGTACAGTGTACCGAACATAAGGTACAGCATAACAAACCCATATTGAAATGAACCTACCCCCTTCCCTCCGAACCGGATACACTGGACCCAGCGAACCACGTTCCCAGTCCTTGTTCTCGTACCGAAGCGTTCCTCAAACTATGTGACTATGGTTTTATCCATGATACCGCATCTGGAATAACTAAAATGTCTGCTTGGTCATGTAAATGTATCTTTCTTGGATATTCACGCTTTCAAAAGGGTTATCGTTGTTATTCACCGAATCACCGCTACTTCAAAAACATTTCGTGTCCACTGATGTCACTTTTATTGAGTCTTCTTTTTATTACTCATCTTCTCTGACTATACTCCATCATGTGTAAACTTCCTCCCATATCTCAAACCCATCTCCACCACACCAAAACTCATGCCGACCAAATATCTAGAGAACACACAAATAATCCAGCCACCCGCCACCCGTCTGTTACAAGTGAATCATCGACATCCTCGTCCTTCATCCATTGAGTCCAATGAGGTCACGCACTCACGCCTGTTGTTTCCACCACTAGCACATTCAGCTACACAAGTGCAAGAGACCACTACTCGTGACTTGCACATTGCTCTCTCAAAAGGTACACGCTCAGCTTTAAATCCTCTCTCATATATAACTTTCTCAGTTATCACCGCCTCTCCATCCCTTACTTTGCTTCACTTCAAGCACTTTGCTTTCACTTCAAGCTTATCTGATGTTTGCATTCCTTAAACCACATGAGGCGCTCCCACACCCGAAGTGGCATAGAGCAATGTTGGCTGAAATGGAAGCTTTACATTCTAGTGGGACATGGGATTTAGTTCCTCTTTCCAACGGGAAATCAGTTATTGGATGCTGATAGATATATAAGGTAAAGTTAGTCCAGATGGAAAAATTGACCATATTCAAGCACGTTTGGTTGTGAAGCAATACACGCATATGACATATCTGCGGTTTAGACTACACTGACACATTTTCTCCCGTAGCAAAGATTGCATCAGTTCGTTTGATTTTATCCATGGCAGCAATGAGTCATTGGCCATTAATTCAGTTGGACATTAAAATGCATTTCTTCATGGTGATTTAGATGAGGAGGTTTATATGGAGCAACCACTTGGTTTGTTGCTTGGGTCGGGGGAGTTTAATTTAGTGTGCAGATTACGTCGTTCTTTATATGGTTGGAGCAATCTCTTGGTGCATGTTCAGAAGGTTTAGTGTCGTTGTTCACGAATTTGCATGACTTGCAGTGATGTTGATCATTCCAAATTCTATAGACATTCTGCGGGAAATAAATGTATATTTCTTATTATATATGTGGATGACACTATCATTACACGTAATGATGACCAAAGAATTGCCCAACTCAAGAAACATCTCTTCAGCAAATTTCAAACAAAAGATTTAGGAAAACTGAAATAATATCTTGGTATTGAGATAGTCCAATTTAAAAATGGGATTGACATCTTTCAAAGAAAATATGCATTGGACATTCTTGAACAATCAAGTATGACGGAGTTCAGGCCTGTAGAAACACCAACGGATCCAAATGTCAAACTTTTGACAGCACAGGGTAACATTTTGCCTAATAAGGAGAGATATAGAAGGTCTATTGGAAAGACGAATTACCTTCCCATCACGCAACAAGATACTTCATTTGTGGTAAGTGTGCCGAGTCAATTTCCTGATAAGCCATGTGATGGACATTGGGGTGCGGCTATCCAAGTCTTGAGATACATCAAAAAAGCATCATGGCAATTGGCAATGATTGCTCTTCGAAGATCGAGGTCACCATGAAATTGTGAGATATTGTGATGCGATGCAGATTGGGCTGGATGCCCGATGGATAGACATTCTACTTCTAGACATTGCATCTTGATTGGTGGAAATTTGATTTATTGGAAATGTAAAAAATAAGATTTGGTTGTCAAATCTAATGTTGAAGCAGAATACCGTGTCGTGGTCCTTACTTCATGTGAAATCTTATGATTGAAACATCTTATGTGGAAGCATGAAATCTGCCAAACTTATATGTGACAATCAAGTTGCAATGCACATTGTTTATTTGCTTCAAATTTTGTATATCATGAGAGGACTAAACATATTGATGTTGACTATCACTTTATCCGAGTCCAAGAGAATCACAAATGGCCGTATCATCACAAATTATGCCAAAACATAAGATCAACTTGCAAATGTTTTGGTGCATATAATTTATATGCTCTAGCTTGAGGGGGAGTTTTGAAACTTCAGTTATAGTGGGCTTAGCCCAACTTGTATAGAAACCGTAGTGCCTCAATTATAGATTTATAGTTATAAATATACCACTTGTTAGAAAAATCAATTCATATTGTTCAGAATCCCATTAATTACTATTCCAGGATTACAATCTGCCTATGTCAAATTGTTTTTAGAAAAAATAGTTTATTGAGAATAAAAGAGGGCATAGGACCTGGCCTGAAAGTACAAAGTGGGATACAAGGGGAAGATTAAATTGTAATGTAAGGAAATCCTATTGCATCAAATTTGAGAATGTAGGGAAAGTCTGTCGCATCATATTTGAGAATGTAGGGAGAGTCTGTTGCATCATAATTTGACCTATTTTATAGCTCCTTTATTCTTTTCACCATCTCAGTTGATCCATAACAGTCTTACAATATATAGCTTTAGAGAGAGCATGATTAAAAGGTAGGGAAGGGAAGAGAACATTACTTGTGAAGAAAGCTTCTTCTATCTGGATAAACAAGATCTCCATACTGAGCAAGAGAGCTTTCAATAACAGAAGGATCGTCTGTCATCAATTTACCAAGCCGTTCTTCAATCCATGGAAGCCTCTGTTAGATGGAATGAGTAGTCCAATGTTAAAAGCAGGTCCAGTGTTAGGAAAACATAGTGAACTGCACAATCAAAACTAACTTCTTTTAGTATGTAGTGCGATGCAAGACCACAGGCAACCATTTCCACACCGTTAAGCTTTTCACCTGTTAAAGCCAAATATTCACCTGCAAATGTAGGAGGAATTGATGATGCCTTGAAATAATGTATTTAAAATAGGGAAAAGGTACAAATATACCCTTCCAGTATGGGTGTAGGAACAAATATATCCATGTTCTATTTTTTGGAAGAAATACACCCCTGAAGTTTATGTGGAAGTGCATATATACCCCTGAACTTTTAGAAGGTGCAAAACTACACATCATGTTTCTATATAGGAGCAAATTAACCCTTATTGACTTTAAATAGATAAAATAAATTTCAAAAAACACCAAAAATAAATTATAAATTTGAAATTGAAAAATAGAATAAAAATAAAAATCTGCTTGTGTACAATTCTCCCTTTTATTATTTTTATATCACAATTAAATATTTTCAATATAAATATTATTTCAAAAATTTACTATATATTTAAGATTCTTTCAGAATTATGTTAACATATGCATTGTAATGTAAAATAAATCATTAATTTTTTGTATTCTTTGCGATATAAAATTACATATTTTGTATGATGATAAATAGTCTAAGATTACAAAATAGTGAATTTAATTTTATTAAGGTTAAAAAAATCAGAGAATGTTATTTCAAAAAAAGTAACAATGTGTTCAAAATTTCACAACAAGACTAAAATTAATATCTATGAATTTTAAGTGCTTCATTTACAACGGAAAAAAAATTGCAAATTAAAATTAGAGAGTTAATATTTTAAATAAGAACAAATCTTTATTTTGAACTCTTTAATTTTTATTTTTCAATTTCGAATTTATTATTTATTTTTAGTGCTTTTTATAATTTATTTTATTTATTAAAAGTCAATAAGGGTAGATTTGTTCTTTTGTAGGAACATGAGGGGTATTTTTGCACATTTTTAAAGTTTAGGTGTATATATGCACCTCTACATAAACCTCAGGGGTATATTTGTTCCACAAAATAGAAGAAGGGTATATTTGTTTCCACAATCATATTACAGGGGGTATAGTTGTACCTTTTCCCTTTAAAATATGAAGAAATACATTTCTATCCTATGGCCACAATATCCATCCATGTGTGGAAATTGAATAGTCTCCAACTTTAAACAACTCTTGTGATGGTGAAATATAGTTGCCATTCTTTGTAGTTTATATCCAATAAATATGTATGTTTCCATTCTCGAAGTGTAGACTAAGAAGTTGTGTGAGAGGAGAAACCAAAGAGAAACTCTAGTGGAAGGGCTCGTGTAGTGGGTTGGTTATTTTGTAGTTGAGTGGGCTTCACTCCTACAGTGCTGATATGTTATAAGTAGAAGACATTTTTAATCCCAATAATCAGAAAAACTTCATAGCAAAAGCACTGATCTGAGAATTGTATGATCTCGTTTATGCTCAAAATCATTTCTGAGAATACCATCAGATCCCTCTAATCAAGATGGTCACTCCAGTATTTTCTGTCCTCCGAACGGCCGCACGCGTTGACAAGCACCACCCAGTGGCACCTGGCTACCGCACACGGTAACCTAAGGAAGAAGACGGCCCACATCATCACCATGTCAGCACAAGTCAGTCATCTGCATGACATGTGCCACTATGTTAGCAACATGTCATTGTTTCTGTCTAGTGGCACCCGATCTGTACGTGTCACCAAGTCGATGACACGCATGACATGTCACCAAGTCATCAGCTAATTGCATGTTGTGACTTGTGACGCTTGCCACATAGTCTACCACGTCACCGCATATAGCTTCCATCAATGCCAGACTTAAAGTTCAAACAAAATTGCTAATTAGTATCTATACTTTTGGATAATTATAGATTGACCATTAATTTTCGACAGAATGTATTTTGACTCCAGAAAAGTCTTTCCGACTATTTTGTACCCTTTTACGTTCAATCGCGATTTTGGTTTTGACTAGTTCTACCTCGAAACATAATATAAACACAAATTTACACATTTATCACGATACTTTCAAGTTTGGAAACACTGATATAGCTTACGCAGACAAATTATAATATGTGAAAGTCAAGAATGGAATGTTGAACATGAAGGATTTGGCAGAGGCCATAGAAAACATAGGCATCAAATCAAATACAATGACTTGATGTTTGGATGACGATAAATGTGAAAACTGTGACTTGAATTCGATAATAAAAATACAAAAACATTTTTCATCATATCTCTCAACATTCAAGAGCGAACAAACAGTAAGAAAAGCTAAAGAGTGTGTACCAAGTTAAGTACCGAGCTAAGATGGCAAGCAACAAGACCACGCCAGATGAAACGGCTAGTAAACCACATATTACGGAGCGGTACGTCCATAATCAAGGACACAAGTCAATTTTGAGATCTCATGAATTAACTCAGTGCTACAAAATGGGATCATAAAGACATGAAGTAAAACATATTGCTCCTGAGCTCTTAACCTAATAACTATGAGATGTTTGTTGTTACTCTTAGCATTAGAGATGGTCACAGAAGCCCTATTGAATGACGAAACCATGAGGATAAAGACTGGTACAGAGCAGTCCTGTGCCTTCATGCTAGAAATTAAGGGAAAAGGGTCAGATAGGCCCTCGAACTTGCATAAAAAGGTCAAATAAGCCCTTATATAGGACGCTCTGTCCGGCCGTCGTCATTTGGGGTGGTTCCTGGTGGAATTTTTTGATGAATTTTTTTTAGCATCTTATTCATTAAGTCTACTCATACCAAATTTCAGCTAAAACTTTAATCGGGAAGGCATTCAAATGAATTCTTGAAGATAACTGCGCAGTTATCTTCAAGAATTCATTTGAATGCCTTCCCGATTGAAGTTTTAGCTGAAATTTGGTATGAGTAAACTAGACTTAATAAATAAGATGCTCAAAAAATTTCATAAAAAACTTCCACTGGGAACCGCCCCAAATGGCGACGGCCGGACTGAGCTCCTATATAAGGGCTTATTTGACCCTTTTATGTAAGTTCGAGGGCCTATCTGACCCTTTTCCCTAGAAATTAAAGGAAGAGGTGGAGGTAGAACAGCAGGTAGAGGACATGGTTGAGGCAAACGTGATCAAGGTAGAAGAAGGTTGTAAGAACATGAAACATTCCATGAGAAACCTCAGATTGCTCAGAGCTCCAATGGGGTGATATTTTAAAGCCATTATGGGGTGAAGATGTGTTTACATCTTGTTTTTTTATTAACTGGAGACCCTTAGTTCAGACGGTGCACTCTGACGTGTCTGGACCTACTCTGGACCTACTGAGGAAAAAGCTATTGGTGAAAGCAGATAGGACATGACTTTTATTAATGATAACCTGCTACATCATGAATGTTTACTTATTATCTCAAGTAGAAAAATAAGGTGTTGGTTTGCTTCAAGTTTTTCACGTGATGGTGAAAAGACAGACATGCAAGCAGATGAAAAGTTTAAGTCATGAGGGTTAGTATACTTCCAGAAAGTTTTATGCATATTAGTATATTACATAGAACTTCTGGATCAAACATGAAGAGTTTAAGTAGCAAACTCCATATCAAAATGGTGTAGCCGAATAGAAGAATCACATCATTATTGAGAATGTTCAATGATGTATGCTCAATATGGGTAATATGTTGAAGCCATTGTGGGGTGAAGATAAATCGGAGAGATACTGCAGTGAGAGAGTTTGTGTTGTGGGTTTGGTCTTTTTGTAATTAAGTAATTTTTACTTCTTTAGTTCCACTTTTGTGATAAATAAAAGATTTTTTTAATCTCAACACTACTATCATAATTTATTTTAAATTCATTTAGAGTATTGACATAACTCACATAAGTTGATATTTACAAAAGTGCAGCAACGTTTCACTTCAACATCCTGGAAAGGAATTTTAGCCCATGTGAAATACAAAACTACCAAATATGACAATGTGACAAGCTGTTCTCATAATTGAGAACTTCCATGTAGATTAGTCATCAGTTAAGTTAAGTGTGATACAGAAGACTAATCGTTATGCCAATATACCTAAGTAGCCAGGAAGCCGGGGAAGATAAAATGAGGCCCCGCCATCAGGATGGAACCCTATTTGAGTTTCTGGAGTAGAATAAACCTGCAGGTTTGTCAACAGCTTCAGGATTGTCAATTTTTCTCTTGCTATCTTTCTTTATCCTTTTCTTTTTGGTATAAGTGCAGTCATTATGAAATTGTGCTTTGATTTAGTGTATAAATTTATTTCTACGTAGTTGGGAGAATCTCTTCTTCCATATGGAGCATGTTCACTACAGCAACAACAACAACATCCAAGCCTTAGACCCAAATAAATTCGGGGTCGGCTAACATGAATTGATCTGGAACATGTTTACTAAATTTCTGAATTAATCTATTCTGAAGAACAATGGTCATGAGTTAACGTATCAATGTTCCATATAGTACAGCGAGTACGGCTAAATACCTAAATGACAGCATCATGAATTCATTCAGCATAATACATACTACATAGGTCCCAAGAAAAATGAAAATTAAGGGATTTAGCGAAATATATAGTAAACTGAAGATTTGGTGGGTTTAAGAAAAGAACTATGGGTGTACCAACCATTAAGCAAGAAAGTTAAGGACATGGGCAAGCATATAAACTTTTTTAATTTTAAACTTTTAACGTTGTAATAACCAAAGCATATTTAAACAACGGCCTCCAATTATTGCCAATCCAAACAAAGCTGATATCATTGTACAGATCCAGGAAATAGTTTCTTACAGTTCGATCAGTTGCAACGCAGAACATTCCAGGAAGGGCAATACCCGCCCCACTTCCCATTGTAATACCATCTAAAATTGCAATCTGTACATATGAGATCCACTTGACATTTAAATACCCAACTAATAGAACTATAAGGGCATGACTGCATGAGCAATATGATGTTAACAAATACAAGTTATTTTTTAACAAATCTTTAAGCTACGAAGTTGTAAATTCTTATAGAACTTACATGTGGTTTCAGATATGTTCCTAAAAGGTAGATAAAATTATAGAGTGTCTGGAAGAAAATTTTGCATTCTTCAACTTTCCCTGCAGAGAGAAATCGTTGTTACATATTGAGACGAAAAAAAGCAATTGTGGTGCCTCAATTTTTCCTGTTTCATCCCCATTGTCAAGGCAGGAAAAATATGATTGCCTTCAAGTATATATACGTCTTACAATTTGAACCATTCCAGTTACAGACCCCGTCACCCCACCCAAGTGACTACTAATACGTACACGTGTTTTACACAAGTAAAATGAAGAAAATTTATGCCATTTCAGCAGCTTATTAACAATGAATTCAACCCACTAATGACTTAGTCCACCCTTCCAAAAAAATTGAAATGGTTGGGGCTAGGAGTAAATCATTGAAGGACTAAAAATGACTTCCTGTTTTAAATCTCTAGAGTCATAGTTAAAGAACAAAGAGCCATGTCAGACATTGGAAGATGTGATTTAGAATTCCTCTATTTTACAATGTTTATCCAGAACATAATACAGTTGAAAGAGTAGCAAATATAATGAACAACGAAGCAGCTAAGAAAATCATACTAATATTCCTTCTTTATCATAGGTGATTAGCTGTGTCTGCTTATATCTACATTGTATGCATCATAAAATCTTGAATTGTGAAGGGACGGGGGCATATCTTCTGTGGAGCTTATAAATGATGCACAAATAGCCAGAAACTAGAACTAGAGCTAAATGGGATACATTGAAGAAAAGTGCCACTATAAGTTGTTTCCTAAATTTAGTCAAATTGCGGGGTTACGTATGCTTCAGGTACATTTTATCAAAATTGTTAAGTGCTCTTAAACAAAAGCCTCCTACTATAGGAGGCATCAGAGAATGAGAAAAAAGAAAAGCATAGCATCAAAACTTGAACATTCTTAAACAATTTCAGAAGCATAACATGATTAAAAATGAAGTATACAAACAACAATCAAGCCGTATCCTCTTTATCTTATTGTTAATATCTTTTTCTTTATCTTATCCTTTTTATCTTACATTATCTTTTTATATAGCTTATATTTCCTTTCTTTTGGGTACCGATATCATGTATCAATTCATGTTAGCCGAATCCAAAATCTTTTGGGACTAAGGCTTGGATGTTGTTGCATTGAAGATAAAAGAGAAACAGAAGTACAGAGCATAAGTAACTATGAATCTACAATCATAAACATAAACCAGCTATTAAGACCTTCATTCATCAACTGATGAAGCATAACAACATCAGCTCCAGAACAAAAAGCTTGATTACTTCCCTGTGCCAAATTTAAGTAGAAACATAGGATCATTGTCAGCTTACCCATTCAACACCATACAGTAACATTTAAAGCCAAACAATAATGTGATGCTATTCAGGGAGTGTTTGCAATTGTTTTTTCTTAAAAAAGCACTTTTTTGTAGCGATTTTGGAAAAGTGGTTAGTAGTACAAGTTGATAGTGTTTGAGAAAAAAGTGATTTTGAAAAGTAAAAGTTGGTAGTGTTTGGTAAAATAAGTGTTTTTTGTGTAATCAAAAAAGTAAAAAGCACTTTTCGCACAAAAGCCGAGAAACGCTTTTTTAAGTAGAAGTTGTCACTTAAAAACACTCTTTTTAGTTTTTTTAAGCCAAAAGCTGAGAAGCGCTTTTTTTAAGCAGTTGCAAACACTCCCTTAGTAAGTGAGTACTGCAGAGTACTCACTACTCGGGCAGTTGTCACTCGCTCCTAGCCCTTCCAGAGTTGTCTACCTACTCAGTTCGATTTGAAAAAACAAGTTATTTGAAGAGTACTCGGCAACTTCGGAGATTCCATGACTCTGGTTACTAACGAGTAACTCGGTTTCAATTTAATGTGAAAACTTCAAAATAAATTTGCGTCAGTGCGAGATTAAAAAAGTTGAGCACTTCAATTTCACAAACCATATTTTAGAGATTTAAATTTCAATAATTTGTAAAACTATAAATTCTCACACAAGAACTATTTTAGTTATACAAGAAGATTGAGATAATATTGATCTTGAACCAAATAATGATTAATTAGGATATAATAAGTTATGATTCATTAGATGATTGGGTCTTTTATAAATGTTTTAAGAATTATGCTAGTTATTATCGTTGATTTAATGAATAGACTAATGAATTTTAGAGATTTAATGTTTTTTAAAAATATAAGACTAATATTATTAGAACATTGTACCATATGTTTTTAAAATTTTATGAATAGACACAGTACAAAGTGATGGTCCTAAATGTTACTAGACCTTTGACAGAATACCTACAAGAAAATTCCCTAAATAGGAGTTGCATTGTTTTCTTCCCTGAATAAGACTCCGTAATAAGACTCATGCACTCCTATTTAGGGAAGTTTTTATTATTTTATTCTTTCAATAGGACTAAATAAGACTTATTTTAGGAAGAACCCTGTGTAGTCCTGTTTTAGAACTTTGCCTATGTTTTGGTCCTATTGTGAGCAATTTTTAAATACACCTATTGAGTAACAACTAACTACTTAGGACTAAAGTTTACAAGAAAGCAATTTATTACAAATGATACCTTCATCAGAACAAATCCAATTTCAGAGTTCTCCTCCCATGAGTTGTACAATCTATTTAAGCGAGGCACCTTCATCCAAGTAAAAAGACCATTTCAGACGTTCAGATTCATTTGCAATGTAACACTACTGCACTTGTGCAGCAACAGAAACAGAGAGATTGCATATCAAACCATAGAGCTAGTGAGAGAATTGAGTGCAGATGGTCTATTGAGTATTGCTGCTCTTGATTTCGATCTCCCTTCAACTAAAACCTAAGAAGGTAACAAAAACAAAAGTGCCTCCATGTCATTATGTCAAAATTTAAATGCATATGGTGCATTTAAATTGTAATGCATGTCGTATAGAGAGGACCTGCTCTTGAAGATCATCTAGCTGGGTATAGTTGGGAAGAGCAGAAATGCTCCTACTTTGGCGATAAAAGAGAAATACTCGGCTTTGCTTAGAACAGCGACTAAATATTTGCAGAATTCTAGATCTAGGCATTTTATATATCTCTGTTGTGCCGATGGCGAGTTGCTGCCCTTGCGGCTACTGTGTATCTCCACTCTAGTTCTCACTCAGAATGTTTCTCAGACCCAAATAAACACATCACTTGCGAAATTTGTATAATTACAATTTGACTGGGCGGCGCATTGAAAGTCTGAAAGAAATTTGTATCACTACCTTTGTATCCTCATTTGGTATACCGTCCAACCGCCCCGCCCGGAGCGTTATGCTCCCACTTCTAAAACGATGTAGTTTTGGATAATTTTAAAAAAAAAATCGTGTGAATAGTATACGTGTGTATAGTGATTTTTTTTTGTTCCAATAGTATGGATGATGTAACTCGTGTGGAAAAATATGTAACTCGCGTTACTGATCAATGTAACTCAAGCTCATCCAGAATGTAACTTGTCAAATATTGATTTCAATGTAAATAATGAAAAAAGAGAGTGTAATTGCACAATGCTTTAGGTAAAACGTGAATATGTTTTATTTTTAATATCATGGCCAGAAAAAATATTTTTTTAGAAAATATCATTTTTTTGTTTCAATAACAGGGTTTGATTTTTTTATGTAACTCGTGTTATTACAAATGTAACTCGCGTTGATGACAAATGTAACTTGGGTGTATACAGAATGTAACTTGGGTGTATACAGAATGTAACTTGTTGAAAAATAGAACAATGATTTTTTTTTGTGTTTGAGAATAATGTGTGTGTGTATTATACACATTGATTTCAATGTAAACAATGAAAAATTGATCCTAATAGCCCAATTACTTTTTAAATAGTGAATATGTTTCGTTTTTAATATTAGGGCTATAAAAATGATATAGCAGGGGGTTTTCCGTAGTGTAACTCACATACTTTTAGATGTAAATCGCGTATATTAAGATGTAACTCGCGTACATTAAGATGTAACTTCATATACTTAATGTTTTAAAAAAAAACTAAAAAATATAAAAAAGAGACCGGGCATGTGAATATAACAACTATTTTACAAAAAAAAAAGTGTATAAATGTAAAAAACAAAATACACATAAAATAAATTTCGTAGTAATTTTAGTCGAAGAAAAAAAAAGTGAATAACAATGTATGATTATGAAATACATATATTAATGTGGATTAATAAAATTTTGTAATAAATTAGTAAAGAAAAAAATTAATGCAATTGTAATTTAATTAGTTAATAGTTTTCTGTTTAGGCTGTATCTATAAATCTATATTTTCAAATTTTAGTCGATTGAATATTTTGTGTGCAGCCGATTGGAATTGATAACTTTAATAAAGTGAGAAATTGGCATATTTTTAGTTCTTTACTCGAGCTAAGAGATTTGATGGTGAGTAGTTTTAAATTTTACATTTTTTTAGAATGTGCAATGGAGCTTTCAAAAAGAAAATGTGCAACCGAAGGAAGAAGCAGTCAAACACTCAAACATGCGGTCAAAAGATTGCGCATGAGTTTGGGGAGCTATTGCCTTCCAAAAACGGTACCGTATGTGGTACAGGTATACCATGAGCATGGTATACCGGTACCACGGTATAATTTTCTACCAAACTCTTATCTCTCCACTCAAAACATTTACTTGTACTCCTTTCAACAGTGTAGCAATGGAAAGTACTCTATCACTTTTCAAAACATTATTCATACTTTCAACTCCGTTTATTGTCATCATATTATAAAGTTTGACATTGAAGAAAACTCTTGTGACACCGCACCCGATGTACTTGAAATAAAAATTCAATATGTGTTTGAACTTCCTAGTTGATAATTGTGCGTAAAAGGATGATAGATTTAATTAATGAATGACTAATTAAATTATTTATCGGACCCGGAATATTGAGAATGAGCTACCAAATATTTAGTTGGGTCATCCTAATAACTATAGAAGCACAATAAATTGCAAACTAATGTTAATGAAAATGTTAGAACAACTCAAATGCTATTTTGACCCAACTTGCTAAAAATAGCAATAAAATAGGGGTGGACATCCCTCACCCACTTGGGGATCTTCCTACATGTATTTTACACTCTAAATAACCAAGTTGAGACTAAAATGAGGCATAGGGACGGACAAGAGAGTGAGGTGATGTGCAAGACAAACACCCACACCCCTATAGCCCTATCTACACATTATTTTGCTACTTGAATGAGGGATGGTGCTTCCTTCTTCATTTCTCATCATTCGAACCTCAAAAGAGAGAGCGAGAAGTCTTGGTAATAGCTCTCACAAACAACAACCTTGGAGGAAGAAAGAAGCTAGCAAATCCAAAAGAAATAGCTTGAGTTCAAGGTAAGAATCCAACTAGTTCTCTTTAACTAGTATTTTATTCATATGATTTTTAAGAAATCATATGGTGGATTAAACAAGAGGTTCTACACGTTTAAAATGTAGAATATTGATATAAAGTGGTGGTATTTAACTTAGTAGAAGAGTCGTAAAATCGATAGGAGTTGAAACCGCCGGAAACCGCCATTGTAGGGGACTCTTTTCGAGCTGCAGGACCCGAAAGCCGCCCACATTTTGCAAAAGCCACCCGACTTTTGGCTTCTGTCTAGCTAGTTCGTTTTTTCGGTCCAGAACGGGGATAACCGAAGGGCTTCACAAAGGCAGCTAGTTAAACATATCATAAGGTGAGAATGTCTGACTATATTGTTTATAATCAGTGAGTTGATTTCATAAGATTACCTAAGGTGTTTAAATGTATTTTTGTGGATTATTCATGATTAATAATGCCTAAAATGAGAAGAGTGTTGTCTAGAAAGAAAAGGAGTATGATATACAAAATTATGAAAAAATTGTCCTTCGTATGTGTTATGAATATGATGACATGATAGTTGAATTAACTATGAAACATTGTGAAAAAATATACTTCTTACTTCATGTAAAGAAGACATGAATGAATAAAAGGAATTGATGGAGTATATTCCCATATACCCCAGGGGTATCATAACCAGCGAACAAAGACTTCAAAGATATACCGATATCCAGGGTAAAGTTCTAGCCGAGGCCGACCTCGACGCACAAGGCTGGGTCACGACAAAAGACCATGAATCAACAAAGTATGGAACCACAACCGAGGCCAACCTCGACCCCGCGAGGTTGGAGCAACATCGAGCTCCCAGATCACCAAGATAAGGCCAAATATGATGCCAACCTCGAGCACACCGAGGTCGGTACCCGACCCGACCTTGGAAGTCAATGGAAGTCAAATAGGAACGAGGAAATAGCCGTTGTTAGCAAACTGGAGACAAGAATTGAATTCCCCCGATATGAGCTCCCTGTATCCCAGCTCTGACCTCACGGAGCTCAGGGTCTGTTAGGAATATTTATGGTGTCCAATCCTGATAAATATCTTTGTATTTGTGTAGCTACTTTGTCTAGATATTTTAGCCCATTGGGATCTTTGTTAGCAATTATTCAACTAGCCTTATTAGGAAATGTGTAAAGTGTGCTATTGGGCCAATCAATAAAAGAGCCCAATCATGCTTAGGTCACATACACATTCCCTAGGCATATAAATATTGCCTTTAAGGGAATGTGCGAAAGAGGCTTTACAGATTATTCACGCATACATTTTACGCTAGAGAGAGAGAGCAGGGAAATTTCCTTTTCATACATGAGCTGTAGTTCGAAATCATTCTTGTATTGAATCGGATCATCTTTTCTTCTCTACTCTATTCTATATTGTTAGTTTGATTGTTGAAACAGGGACAAACAATTGGTATCAGAGCCGAGCGTGAAATCGATTGAAGGTTTTCTGCGTTTTCGAATCTGCCATTGACGCTGAAAAACAATTTTTTTCGAAAATTTGATTTCTGCAAATTTTGTTATGATGGACCTGTTTTGGACGCTATTCTGCAATTTCTGAAGGATTCCGATCAACATTTCAGATAAAACAGTGTGGAATTGCTTAGTTTGGATTGTGAAGATTTTGATATTATTGGTTTTTTTACAGGTTTTCTCGAAGGTAATATCGAAAAGTGCAGGTTTTCGATTGAAAAGAACTTCTCGCAGATCAACATCGAAAACCAGGTTCTCGATAACCGGCATCGAGAAGACAGCCTCGAAAACTTTTTGTCGAGAACCAGGCATCGAAAAGTTTTGTCGAGAACCATGTATCGAGAAAGTAGGCTGAGCTCGAAAAAAAAAGGCAAAATTGTTCTTTGAGACCCGCTGAATTTTACGGCTATCGTGTCCGCAGGTCGCCCGCGCATGGGGGGTGCGAATTTTCGATTCTGAACTGAAAGCCGAAATTCTTGTGTGCGCGAGAGCTCCCCTATTCTCCTTCACCTTTTAATTCTAAGAGAGGAGTGGTTCATATTTATAGGCTTCAAACTTCTCAAGGAGTTTAGGTGTGGGAAACTTAAAGAAACTCACTTTCCACCTTTCCTTGAAAGTGTACACTTTTCATCAATTTTTTCCAAGAGCTAGTTTTGAGCCACTTTAAACTCCAAAGTCCAAAACTCCAACACCAAAGGTGAACCTTACAACCAAAGCTTCCAAGAGTCAACCTTGGGATTTAAAAAAAATCAATTCATTAAAAAAAAATCAATTCATTAAAAAAATCTCAAGGTTAAGGCTATTTTTCTCAAGGACCAAGCTACACTTCAAGGTCCGGAAATTTGCAGAAACTTCAATCAACCTCACGTCTACGGTCAACATTCAACAATCAACCATGGATGCCTCTAAGCCTTCTTGCTCCTGTACTTGCAATGTTCACTCTTCACAAGAGAAGGACAATCTCATTAAGGAGTTAAGAGACAAGGGAAACATCAACCATAAATACCTTATTGACAGTCTAGACAAAGTCAGATCTCTGAGCATACAGTTAGAAAATGAAAAAGAAATTGTAAAGAAGCAAACTTTAGAATTAGATCAGCTTACTCAAAAGGTAGCTGAACTAACTAAGAAAGTTTGTGAGACTGAATTAGAACGAAACATTGCCAAAGCTGAAAATGAGTTTCTACATGAAAAAAGAGGCAAGCTTTACACAAAAATCAAAGAGTTGCAAGATTTACTAGCCAAGAGAGGACAGACAGAACAAACCATTTTTCTTAACCAGAACAAGGACACACAATTTTATAACTCTAAGGAGGGTCTTGGTCTCACTAACCCCAATAATTTGAAAAAGGTGGATTGTATTCAACTTTATGACATAAATTATATGGGGTTAGGATTGACTAAGTTGATGGCTTTTACCTATGGAAAGGAAACAGCAGAAGAAGA